AAGGAAGTATGGTTGCTGAAGAGATTAGCATGATTAAAAAGGAAACAAGTATAGTACCTTGTACAGGAACAAGAGAAAAGGTGTATTGAGGGCATCTCAAGAATTAGCAAGATCCCACCTACTGTAGGCTCAAAAGTGTAAACATTTGGTTTGATAAGTGAGTCCTTGGGCTCCCTGCTCAAGAAGGGCCACCTAAGGAATTAGTTCCTCAAGATTTATTTCACTGTGCTCAGCCATCCAGACACTCAGAAGCTGCTATAGCTATGGTGCAAGGGTGTTGGCTACTGATAGAGCTACTGATTGAGCTGGCAGCAGACCTTCACGTCATCCACGTGATGCTGATTTTACTAGCATGCTTCTTCAAGAGTTGTGGGGTCAGGGAAGATTCCATCCAGACAGCAGAAGGCCTGGGAGACCAGGCCCTTGAAAGGGGAGTATGTGAATCTGTGAGATGAAGTCAAAGGTATAGTGGAGACCCCTGGAAATTGGAAATGCTAAGAATGGAGTATCTGTAGAAGAAAGCTGCAGGTTATGCATGGGTCCAGCTCAAGAGAGAGGTCAGATGGATCTAGCAAGGCCATAGGGTTAGGGCCTCCATCACCATTATGTATCCCAGATGATGGATATGTAGCTACAGGACTTAATGTTTACCCTTCTGGCTTTCAGCCTTGCTTTGGTCTAATTCTTTTGTATCCCCCATTCTTCCTTTTATAATAGGAATGTTTATGCTATTCCACTGTACTTTGGTATTATGTAACCCTTTTGGTTTTTATAGAAGTTCACAGCTAAGAATTTACCTTTTGTCTCAGAAGAGAAGACACTTGACTTGGATTTTTGAGAAAAATATTGTAAATGTTGAGAAATTTGGGGAAGGACTTGTTGCATTTCTGGTTGTACATGGGATAGTTGTATTATGTTAGGTGGAATAATATGTACTTGATGTTGTCTTCATTTGGAGATTATGTGTGATTTAAGGAGATGTGTTTGGGAATGAAGTTGACAAAGGGTTAGATGTGGCAGTTAGGGTGGAGAGTCAACTTGATTGGCTTTTGGATCTGCCCACAAGATTGGTGAAACACACTTGTAGGTATGTCTGGATAGGTCAAGGAGGCATGGCCTGGGATCTGTGTTTGGTCCATTGCTCCTTCTCTGGCACTATTTCCCAGCTCTGATTCCTGGCCTCCATGAACTAAGCATCTTCGCTCTGCATGCCCTTTTGTCATGATGTTCCTGCCTTAGAGGCAGTGGATCATGGATTGAGTCCCCTGAACTATGAGCCAAATTAAACCTCTTTTATGTTGTGGTTGTTGGGTATTATGTCTCAGAGATGGGAAGCTGATTAATATATGGGGGCTAGATCTGGGGTAGAGACAAGGGTGAGGACAGCCATTATACAGCTGGAGCTAGTGGCTGGCTCCAGTTCCTCAGGAATGCTAGTGGCAGGCAGGAGTTGAAGATAGAATAGCAGTACTCAGGTTCACAGGTTGGGTAGATTCTCAGGAACTATCCTGACATTCATTCAGTGTGATTTGTAAAACACAAGGAGAAATTAATTGTCCCCAAGTGAATTGTCAAATTCTAAAACACAGTAGATTTCAATTGGGAAGTACTTATAAGGTCTCAGAGCCTGTAGTTTGATTCTGCTATATGGAAGAAAAGTGATATTAGCTGGGATATATGAGATTTTTTTTTTTTTTTTTTTGTTTCTGTGTTTCTCAGTTTTGTCTTAAGGAATATTAATTCATTAGAAAGAAGATATATTTCTGGTGATACTGGAAATTAGAAACTCTTTTAACCTATTGATTTGGGCAAAATGTGAATGGGAAGCTGAGCTTAATGCTGGGGTATTGGATTTTGAGAACTCTATTGATTGCTGAAGTCTCTGCACAGCTCCACAATTATAGTTTCAGCTGTAGTCCTGTGTTTGGGTTGGTCATTGATTTTGTGCTAATGACAAAAATTCAGGTGTTCTAACTCTGATATAAAGCTTAGAAGTTATCAGGGTATACAAATCTGTCCCAATTAACATTTTAGTGTCAACAAAATCAATTTGTGTCCTTTTACACAATAACTATAGGGTGATTTCTTTTTTGGGGGGTACTAGAAATGGAACTCAAGACCTTGCATTTGCTAGGCAGGTGCTGTGGTGCTAAGCTCTTTCTCTGGCCCCATAGGGTGATTTCCAAAAGCAAATAATCTACATTTTTTTCAATTTTGTAATTCTAGAACTCTGAGACTTACACTTTTTTGATTGTATACAGTAATTTCTGTGAACTACACAGTAATTGTTTCTCAGTGGTCCTGTTTTTTCAGCCATTTTCTTTCCCATCTCCTTCTTCTTCCTCTTGCCCATGGCTCCATTACCCTCCACACTTTCTCACCACTTAAGCAGTGTGAAACACTATCAGGATGGCAGGTGTCATTCTCTTACTCCCGTTCTCTATGCCCTCCACACCATACAGTGATGTGCCTTTTCCTTCTCCACATTTAGTCAGTCAAGTGCTATCTTTCCTTCCACTTATTCCTATGTCTTTATGGCAACTATGTATTTTTTCCTTTCTTCTCTTCCAACCCAGACTCCTCAGAATTCATAGAAGAATCAAGCCCCAATAGACTTCAACTAGGTGAATGACACATTTTAGCAACAACCTTGCTTGTCTGAAGTAATAAATGTAGTAAATATCCCAAATGATTCTTTTACAGAAGGTTCTCAGATATGCTTTCTTTTCTACCATCAACCTCTTGCCTGGAAAGGTGTAGTCTACTGGTGTTATCCCTGTCAATCTATCCCAACTCAGGCAGAGGAGAGTTTCTGAAATGCAGATAGAATCATGCTATTCCCAGGTTTAATAGATTCCCATTGCCCATTCTAATGAAATACTAAATCTTTCTTTGGGCCTAGAAGGATCAGAGCTGAGGCCTCTCTCCTGCCTTCTCTGGTTTCATCTCATGCTTCTATTCCTCACAGGCACCATGCGGGGGCCATATTGAACTTCTTTCTATTTCTTAAACTATCTTGACCTCTACCTCCCCAGGGTCTGTGCACGTGCAGCTGCTGCCTTTGCCCAGAATGTTCTCTGTTGTATATTACTTCGTGCCCTCCCCTGTCCCTCACTCTTCCTATGAGTGACTCCTTGGCCAGCTGTGGAGGCCTTTCTACCTGGAAGCCTCAACTGGGGCTGCAGTGTGGGTCATGGCCACCTTATGCTCCCGTGGACCCCAAGACTTCCTTCATAGTGTGGGATATAATTTCAGCTACTTCATTGTCTGCAGTAATTTAATGTCTGTCCTCCCCAGAAAACTACTAGCTGAATGAGAATAGAGACCTTGTCTGTCTTTAACCACAGTATTCCCCAGAGCCCAGCACAGAATCTAGTGTAGTTTCTTAATATGGATGACTCAGATATGTAAGTTATGTGTTATCAGTCCTCCATATTTACACATTCTGCATGCCCAGGTTCAACCAGTTGCAGATGGAAATATTTTTTTGATTGTGTCTGTATTGAAGATGTACAGATTTTTTTCCTTGTTATCATCCCCTAAACAGTACAGGATAACAACTATTTACATAGCATTTACATTTTATTAGATTCTACAGGTAATCTAGAAATGATTTAAAGTATGCAGAAAGATGTGTGTAGATTGTGTACAAATATTATACTGTTTTATATAAGGGACTTGAGTATCTAAGGGTTTTCATATCCCCAGGGGGTCTTGGAACCAGTTTACCATAGATATCTAGGGATAAATATATGTAGAATATAATTTAGAATATAGAATGATATATATTCAAATTAAGTATAAAACTGTATAACATTTTTAAAGACTATAAATAAATTAGATAGTATTATTTATTTATTTATTTATTTAAAAAAATATTTTGGAACCCAGAGTCACACTCAGATCTTGCTCTTGCCAGGCAGGCACCTTGCCACTGAGCTGTATCCCTAGCCCTGGATAGTGTTCTATGCATGGGTGTTCTTCCAGTTCTGGTTTTAATAAGTCACAACCATATATAACCCATATACTAATAAAAGATGTCTTAGGTATTTAAGAATACTTTATTTTTCTCAGGATCTTGATTCTCTTTAAAGTGTGGTTTAAAGTACAGTAATATTATACTTGGAAAATCATTTCTTTTTAGTTAATGTTAAGGCTGAGCTGACTTACTGTACTCCTGAATTTCTTTAAGTATAAATGCCGTAATTTCTTTAAAAGTCCTACTTAGGAAAATTTCAAGCATATCAAAATAGAATAGAACAGTGGATTTCCATTTGCCCATAAATAGGTGTAATGCTTATCAACATCTGTCCAGTCTATTTCATCTCTCCTGTCTTCAGAGCTTCCCTTGCCCATAAGTGGATTATTTTAAAGAAAATCTAACATGGTCTCATTTTATCTACAAATAATTTAATAAATACCTAAGATAGGGATTCAGAATAAAGCCACAGCACTAATACTGTATACATCTGAAAATTTATTCTTTAATCGTGTCAAAACATCTAATCAATATTCAGGTTTTTCTGCTTAAGATTTTTAAAAATGTCTTTATACAAATCAAGATTCAATTTTCTTGTCCCTCTTTTTTTGACTTTTTGTCTTGTTCTTTAATTTGTGTGTGTGTATGTGTGTGAGCATATGTATTTTAAAGGGGTTATTTATTAGTCTTTTATAATTTCCTGTATTCTGGATTTTGTTGATTTCATCCCTAAACTTTTCTTTAAAGCATTCTTCTTTTCTCCAATTTCTTAAAAGCTTATGAACAATTAAAAAAATATTGGGTAAGATTTAATTTATTTATCTTTTTATTTTAAAAAAAAAAGCAGTCCATCTCCTCACTGATTTGAGATGATACTTTTACTAAATTTCCATATCAGTGCCAACATTTTAAATTTCTAAATAAAAAATTACTGTATTAACTTCCTAATAAGTTAAGATCCTGAATCCCAATTTTTTGAAGGATGATTTTGCTTCATTATGACATTTTTCTTCCCTCTCAGATTTGGCCAAAAGAAAAATACAGAATTGCTGTTTATTTTTATAATCCCTGAAAAATTTAAAGGTATGTGCCTGTTGAATATAGTGTTTGCTTTTTCTTCAAATAGAAATTACAAGGTCAATATTTAATACAAAGATTTTTAGGTTGTGTTTCAGGGCATGGAGTTGATGTTACTTTAAGCGAACCACTGACAAGAGAAAAACTGAGTATTGTGGTAAAATACTGGAAAATGTGTTTCTCAAAAACTGGTGAGTAAAAAGTAAATTTCCAAAGGCTTGAAAATTTTCATTAAAATTCCATGAAAACCATGTTTATGTGGCTTTAAATTGCCTTCCCATTTATGCCCTTTATTTGCTGAGGATTAGTGTCTGTATACTGTAAAGAACATGTTATCTTTGTGAAACAGGCAAGAAGAAAATAAGTGTAAATTAAAAGAGAAATATATGTTCTTTACATACTGTGAAAAAATTTACATCTTTAGAGGGCTAAAGTGGTGTTGTAGGGAGAGAATTTGTTTTGTGTGGTTTTCTTTCTTTTTTTTTTGTAGTAACACTGTTACTTTATTTTTTCTTTTCTTTTCTGGTAGCCTAGTGACCATAATTTCTTAGTCAGTAAAATAAAATTAATCATGTTGTGTAATTATATGAATGTCTGAAAGCCAGGGCACTAACCTTAGATTGTATAATACTTTGTGCTTTTCAAAACACTTGCATATAAATTATTTTAACTCTTCAAATTGATAAGGTGGTGATCTTTTCTCTTTTAGAGTTTTAGACAGAATGAGTATCAGTGTTTTAATTTGATCTGTCTAATCTCTTTACCTATTATGTGTTATTGCTAGCATGTAAATACAAACTAATTAAATTAGCTTTGCTTATGAAAGGACAGACTAAATTCTGAAATTAGTATTGGTTAGTGGCTGTTTTTGGTTGTTCTAAGTTGTTCTAGGCCTGGGATATTGGCTGAGAAATCTTTTAGAATTGAGATGTGATGGAAGATTTTGGCCGAGGGGTGCAAGGTTTCAGCTATGTAAGATGAGTAAGTTCTGGAGATCTGATGTACAGCTTGATACCCGTAGTTAACTTGGTGCTTACTCAGATACAGTACTTGGTCTGTTAAGAGTGTGCATATCAAATGTTCTCATCCCATACATAAAAAAGAAATGAAATATATTACAATAGTGAGATGATACATGTGTTAATTAGATTGCCATGATTATTTCCACAATGTGTTATGTACATCAACTCCAGCTGTATATACTAAGCATAAACAATTTGGAATCATCAGTTATACCTCATGGAACCTGGAATAATCTTAAAAATGAAAATTAAGGTATTGTTCTTAAAGTATGCCTTGGGCTGGGGCTATAGCTCAGTGGCACAAGCACCTGCCTGGCAAGCACAAGGTCCTGAGTTCTATTCCTGGTACCAAAAAAAAATTAAAATATGCCTGAATACATTTTTAGAAGATAATCATATATAATTTATCCTGCAAATGTTTGTATTAGAGCATTCAATATATCCCACCTTTTTAAATGCTATTTTTATTTATTTTTTACATAGATTAATTAATGTTAATGTAAGACTGAAAGAAATAAATGGACATTCCCATTTTACAAAAATTTTTTAAAAAATATTCAGATTAATGAGCTTACTTTGTAACACTCCGTAGTCCAGGCCCCTGCAGTTTCCTTGGAAAGGCTAACCGTGGCAGCCACAGTCCTTTGTACAGCCTGGTCCTATGTGGTCCTCAGTAGAAGCAGAGCAGCTGCTCATCACCTGTCTAGCATCTTTCTATTGGTCACTACCACTCCTTCTTTCAGTTGTCTCATCTTTGCTCCGAGGATGAGCAGCTGTGAAAAAATTTTTTCCAGAAGTTGTATTTTGACAATGCAGTTGCTTATTGAAGACTTCTACATATTTTGTGTCTTTTGACATTTACCTATAAATAGGAATTTGATAAACTCAGCTGAATGTGCTTTAAGCACAGCTGTTGCTAATTACTAGAATCTGATTGAAAAGAGGGTATCCTGGAATAGATAATATTTTGCTTTCTTAGCTGGGTGGTTTTATGCTTCACAGACTGAAATCTATAAATTGCTTTCTATTTTACTGCTTTGTACAATCATTATTAGTGATTTTAGAATTAAAATGGTCCTCTTTTAAAACTCAGGTAAGAAAGAAAATGCTGCAAAGCCTAAAGAACAAGGATCGCCCGTACTGAATTCCTGTAGTGAACACCTAGGATATTTTTCTGCTGATCTATTCACTTGGTTAGTTTTTCTTTTGTATTTTTTTCATATATTAGCAGATTTTACTATGTTTATTTCTTTTAAAAATTCTAGGGAGCTTGTCGACTATGGAGCACTAGCTCAGGTGCTGAGGGTTATACAAAAAGGCCCTTTTGTGGAAGAGGGATGGGATGGTTTTGTGTTTAAGAATCCTGGATCGTGAGTATAGGTTATAAAAGTTTCAACTCAGTTTAAGAAAGCGCTTCATAAATATAATTATGTGTTTATATCTGACCACAGGAGTACAGATCAACTTGTAGTAAGTTCCTCATCCCTGGAGAACTTTATCTGTGTTAGTAGAGACTAGGTTAGCACTAAAGGGGGATTCAAACTTTTTAAAACAATAGAATCCTTTTTTCAGCCAAACCTTACCTGTATCCACCTACCACTCCGCTTTTTCTCTGTTGACTTTCTTCAACTCATGAACTAATTCCTGCAATTATTGATAGCCATACTTAGAAAGGATGCAGAGATTCTTTACAGACCTTAGGTAGCTTTTAGGATAGCCTCTTGATATTCAGGAAAAGTTTTAGTGCACTCTGCTGGGTCTTTTCCTCTGCGTCTTCCTCAGAGATAATGGCACTGGCATTCAGACCTGCATTGGACAGTCAGTTGAACTAGGGATCAGGACCTTCCAATGCTAGTATGTAATACTTACGAAGATTCAATTCTTGTAGTTTTTGTCCCTCCGTTTTAAGCTTATTTCCAAGGAGGACTTAAATAGAGCTGAGGGCTATAAATAAAGGAGAATACTGAAGCTGTGGGTACTGAGGATGGTGAAGATTTGAGTCAGTCACTTCCGGAATTTGTAGAATGCAGCCATCTACTATTTCGAACGAGCAAGGGATTTGGCAGCCAGTTAAGTGTGGTTAAACCAAAGATGATCTCACTTAAAGAGCGTAGTGATAGCTACAGCTCTTGTGATTTCATTTAGGATTTTAATCTCAAAGAGCTTTACTGTACGGACAAAGTTCTAGAAAGATGGTAGAGCCAGGCAATGTCCATTAAATGACAAATTTTAAAATGGAAAGTACCCTTTGCTGGCCAAATTGGAAAAGGGTGTATCTTGGCCCTCTAAGCCTTTATGCTTTTTCCTATAATGTATCTTTCCTTCCAAAGAGTAGATACAGTCCTGCTTCTTGACTTATGAAGGGGCGGTATCTAAATAAAAAACACATCATAAATTGAAAATATGTCAAAAACACATTTATTCCACTTAACCTATTAAACATATTAGTCTATCTAGCCTATCTTAAATTTTCAGAATACTTGTTTTCACTTATAGTTGGCCAAAATCATCTAACAAAGCCTATTTTATAATAGGTTATCTAAGCATTCAATAGCTCATGTAATTTATTAAATACTGTACTGAAGATGGAAAGCAGGTATGCTTTTACAGTACTGTAAAGTTGAAAAATGATTGTAAGCCAAAGCATTGTCAAATGGAGACTGTAATTTGGGATGGTCATCATTGATGAGATTAGAATGTTTTAATACTGCTTGTATCTCTTATAAGTACATTTTAGAATTTTGATGAGTCATTGAATTTATGATAATTTTAATACATTCTTTTGAAATTTTGAAAGAAAATATTTGTGCCAAATGTATGAGGTAAAGTGCTTTGATATTTATTGCCCCTTTGTATGAAGCAGGAGAGAAGCATTGTTTGATTAGTATATTGGTGCTGATTGTTTAATATTGCCTGACTGTTTTCCTCTTTAATACATGGTCTGATTTTTTTTCTTTTCTCTAGCTCTGAATCTCTAAGAAATGACGTTGGTTTTGAATTTAAAATTCCATCATCAGAACTTGAGAAAAACAAACAGATTTCTGTCCTTCATTCAAGCAAAGAAAAGCTGAGAAGGTGAGTATCAGTACAACTCTCCTTTGTAGGGATAAATTACTTTCATGAATTTTACAACTTTTTGTGTAATATTGTTAAAAGACTAATGAAAGTAGGAAATCTGACAGCTAAATAAAGGCTACTTATTCAGTCATTTAATCAATATTTTTGCATATACTTTTTATCACTGTGGGAGGGTTATACTGGGAACTCTGAAGTTTGGGTTGTTCTGAGGCTCAGTCCTAAATAATCAACCCCTTCCCAAGTTGGCATCTGATTAAATACTCTCTGGCAGTATGGCGGGTGCTGCACTGGATTTTCTCTCCAGGTGGTGCTCGTGTGTGTGTGTGTGTGTGTGTGTGTGTGTGTGTGTGTAAGGAGTCACTTTGGCGCAAAACCTCGCACTGCTGCAGTTTGCAGCAGCCAGGAGGTCCTAGGTTAGCACCACTGGCCAGGTCTGCTGTTTTTCCATGGGCTCCTG